TCAAGTAGGACCATGTTCTTCGTTGGACCCTCTTACTAAGACTAAATTATATAATACAAAAATGTGTTCATTTTAAAAAGGGCTGCGTGGGAGAAAAAGGTTTGTCCTTGTGGAAAACACAAGCGTTTATATAATACAAAAATGTGTTCATTTCAAAAAGAGGTTTGAAATAGTAAAAGACACAACCGTTTCTTTATCTAAGTTATATGATCCTGCCCAAATATTTAGGGGCGAAAGAAGGCTGTTAAGTGGTGATGCAAAAGACGCAACTGTACGATTTAATATGTAACCGTCGTTTGGAATATTCCACAAGTTATTCTAAATAATCACGTACAAGTATCCGTTTGTATATTTGATGGATACGTTAANNNNACGACAGTATGACGCTTTTAAATACTCTGAAAAGAGATATAAACTACATAGATTACAAAATTAAAGTTTCTTTGGTAAATACGCATTTGCTGTTTGTGTTCTTTTCTAGATCCGAGCATGCCGCGAAAGCCCTGATCGACATAATCAAGAAGGCGCCGAGCGGAAGCAGCTGGCTGGTGGACAGCTCGAAGCCGCCGACGGAGATCAAAGTGTTCTTATAAGAAACGCACGCACGCATCAGTTAGAAGAGCAGGGCAGAGCGGATCGCATATATCAATCAATCAATCAATATTCTTGTATTCATTTCATATTCACGATTAATTTTAACCGATAAGTTTGCATAATGGACAGGTCGGAGAGTGCGAAGTTTTAATCCATTCGAGAGCAATAGGAGCACAATCAACCCTCCTCCTCCTTCTCCCTTTACCCGAAAAACACGTATTCCACGGTTGTGTAATCAGAAATAAAGATGATGATGATGATAGGCAGAGAACGTGAAGACAAGACATAGTCGTATTTAAAATTAAGGTGTTTAACGCTTATACAAGTTGCTTTAATGATCACATTATATATATATATATACAAGAACAAAACCAAAAATTTTAATGGAGTGTACTTAAACTGAGGATAGATTTTTATTATTTATTATTGAATTTCAATTAAATTGTATTTTTTCTATTTTTATTATCCTATAATGAATAATAAATATATAAGCTTTGTATATTTGCAGTTATTTTTTATTCTTCTTTTCTTTTACCTGAACGCAATACAATAATCATTATATAAAATGACTAAATGTGTTTTCAGTTTTGAAAATGATGTAGTCAAAGATTTAATGATTGGTTGGAGAATGAGTAAATTTACAGACGTTTATTTGATAACTCGATAATCTGCTTTTGGTTTCCAATGTACACATAAAATTCGTCCAGTTTCATGGAGAATGATCATAATTACAAATACTGCGCCTCGAGGACGGAGTTCTTCTCCCACGGAGAGAGTCTGACACTGAACAATCTGGAGCCTTCACACACCCAGACCGTTCCCGTGTCCGCAAACCTGATGAGATGAAGCGCCGCGGATCCGACTACATCGGCCGTCTGGTTCTTAGAATTCTTGATGTACTCCGCCAATTCGCCGCTCAGCTGATCGGTCATTCCCTGATTCTTGACGTTCTTGAAGAAATTGGTGCTGGTGATTCCGGTGCAGAGTGTGACCACCCGAATTCCTGACCTCTTGTAGTGAGACGCTGCTCCGAAGCTCCTGGAGAAACCGATGATGCCGTGGTAGGAGCAGCTCAAAGTGGGCGCAGACGGCATTGGAACCAGCCCTCCGATACCCGCCAAATTGATGACGATGCCACCTTTCCCGATTCCCTCTCTACCCACGTACCGATAGGAAAGCAACGTCGTTCGTATGGTGCCCACCTGAAGAGGAGATATACCAAAAGTTTAATACCTGATTTGCGTTCAAATTGTAAAGCCTCTTACGGTGTTCGTGACCAATTCAGATTCCCACTTCTTTCCATCGCAAATCGCCGCAGAGTTTATGACAATGTCGATGTTATCGTACGCCTCCTTGACAACTTTAAACGTTTCTATGCAAAGAAATCAATCTGTACGTAGAGAAAGGTATGAGGGTGAAACGCAACGTGCGAACCTTCTAGCTGCACCATGCAATTGGAATTGCTGTTGATGAACATCGCCCTGTTCTTCCCGTACGCATTGTTCAAGCAGGTGACGGCCTCCTTCCCGTTGCACGTCTGCAGACCCGTGATGGCAACCGCTTTCGCCCCGCACCTCAACAGATGATTGGCAATGGAGAATCCTATTCCTTCCGCTCCACCGGTGATCAAAGCCACCTTGCATCCCGGCTGCATGATCGGTTGCAAATTCGGACTTTCGCACAGATACAACTTGTATTAATTCAAAAACTTTGGCAAAAACTACACCACCAAGTTCTCACCATTTGTCGCCACTCTTCTTGCAGTTGCGCGCCGTGCCACGAAAATCCCTTCGAAACGTCCCATGGCAGCAGAAAATTCTGCAACAACAACAACAACATCATAAAATGGTACAGCTCGAAGCGTTCAGCTCATGGAAGGATACATACTTACGGCGCAGGAATTTCGTTGATATCCGAAACATGTTTGACTCACAGGTAATTTTTAACGGAACGGCACTTTCAGAAAAGATTCATGACGTTTCACCACAATTGTCGTTTGGCAGGTGATTCCTGCGATCCGCAATACGAGCGGCGGATGCGCCGGTTCCTTGGAAACGACGAATCCGGGGTGGGCGCAAACCGCTCACGAAAATGAACGCGAAGACGTCAGTTTTTTTGGAAGCAAAGTCAAAATTCCCGGTGTAACATGTTCCAAATCTGCAGATGCGCTATCCGCCGTTCGATCTTCAGAGGTCACAACCTCCTACACAGCAGAAACGTAAGCAACATTACATAGTTTTAATTTACGTTTTATTAACTAAAATATTAAAATATGATTACGTTTCATAGTATTCATTGGATTGTGATCCGTTCGTGGATAAGGTGGCCATGGTAACTGGAGGTGGCGGCGGGATTGGTCTGGAGATATGCAAGAGGTTGTTGAACGAAGGCTGCAGGGCCGTATCCATCGCTGATAAAGACGTGTGCAGAGGTGAGAGCGCGCTGAAGGAGATTGCGGAGATGTTCGGCAACGATAGGGCCATCTTCATAGAGTGCGACGTGACCAAGTCGGAGATGTTGGATTGTAAAGGTGAATGCTACATCGTCGGATCCGTTTAATCTCCGTTGCTTTAGGGGCCTTCAAGAACACGATACGCGCCTACGAAGGAGTGGACTTTGTGGTTAACAACGCCGGCATTCTGAACGACAGGAAATGGCAGTGCGAAATTGCAACTAACATTGTATATAACACATCATAATTGTAATGCTAACTAAATTCTAATCGATTTCCTCAAAGAACGGTTACGTGGTGGGCAGTCTGCTGGCTCTGCAGTACATGGCATGCAGCTGCAAAGGATGCGGTGGATATTTGATCAACGTTATATCGACGGACGCGATCGAGCCGAAGCCTGGATGTCCCATATACTCGATGACGCAGGCCGGAATCCTTGGTTTGACGAGGGCGTTGATCAACGGACGACACTACCAGAGGACCGGCGTCAAAGTGATCGGTCTGTGCACCGGGTTGACGGAGACGCAGCTGCTCGAAGACGCCGCCTGCGGCACCCTCAACGAGAAGTTCGCCGACGAGCTGCAGGATGATCTGGAAGAGGGCTGGATTCAGCCGCCAGCCGCCGTCGCCGAAGCCCTCATCCAAACCATCTGCAAGAAGAAAGCCGCAATTTACGTCGTCGACAACGGGCACAATCCGTTCGAAGTCAAATTTCCGACAATGGAAAAAATGGCGAATTGCGACTCAAAATGTTGAATGTGTGCAGTAAAATAAAATCAAATTAAAACAATTATTCACTTTTATCTTCGGAAAACTGGAAGTAAGGAAGGGAATCTTAATAAATGAAATATTTCTGCAAAAAACCTCAATCTAATTCACAACGCAGAATAGACTCAAATAGTCAAGAAAAGTTCATAAACATTTTACCTGCTTACAATTGAAATTGTGTGCAGTTAAATAAAATCAAATTAAAACAATTATTCACTTTTTATCTTCGGCAAACTGGAAGTGAGGAAGGTGATGGAAGGGAATCTTAATAAATTAAATATTTCTGCTAAAACTTCAATCTATTTCACGACGCAGAATAGACTCAAATAGTCAAGAAAAGTTCATAAACATTTTACCTGCTTACAATTGAAATTGTGTGCAGTTAAATAAAATTAAATCAAAACAATTATTCACTTTTTATCTTCAGCAAACTAGAAGTAAGGAAGGTGATGGAAGGGAATCTTAATAAATGAAATATTTCTGCAAAAAACCTCAATCTATTTCACGACGCAGAATAGACTCAAATAGTCAAGAAAAGTTCATAAACATTTTACCTGCTTACAATTGAAATTGTGTGCAGTAAAATAAAATCAAATTAAAACAATTATTCGCTTTTTATCTTCAGCAAACTGGAAGTAAGGAAGGCGATGGAAGGGAATCTTAATAAATTAAATATTTCTGCAAAAAAAACTCAATCTATTTCACGACGCAGAATAGACTCAAATAGTCAAGAAAAGTTCATAAACATTTTACCTGCTTACAATTAAAATTGTGTGCAGTAAAATAAAATCAAATTAAAACAATTATTCGCTTTTTATCTTCGGCAAACTGGAGGTAAGGAAGGTGATGGAAGGGAATCTTAATAAATGAAATATTTTTGCTAAAAACCTAATCTATTTCACGACGCAGAATAGACTCAAATAGTCAAGAAAAGTTCATAAACATTTTACCTGCTTACAATTGAAATTGTGTGCAGTTAAATTAAAACAATTATTCGCTTTTTATCTTCGGAAAACTGGAAGTGAGGAAGGTGATGGAAGGG